AATTTCTTTGAGCACCCAAAGGAAGACATTTCAAGCAAAAAACATTTTTTTTTACTTTTCAACAACTTTTTGTTTCTACATTAGCTTATATTATTTAACAAATAGAGAAGCCTTGACTGTGCTCTGTTCTGTTATAAAGCACGCAGGAAGCGGCTAGAGCACGAAAGAAGTGTAGGGAGAAACACGAGACGTAGTCGAGTGTTTCTCCCCACTTCTTGAGTGCTCTAGCCGCTTCCTAAGTGCTTTATAACAGAACAGAGCACAGTCAAGGCTTCTCTATTTGTTTTATAATAAAGAATCCATTAAATTCCCCGAGCATTACTTTCAATTTTCAAAACAAACTTTATTTCCAAAGCGAAGAACAGTGTCGTCAGCATGCTCTATACTCTCATAAAGCACGCTACAATAAGCCAATCAGAATCCCTGTTAGAATGGTTGAAATAATCTGATTGGCTGTACAAGACTAAAGCTGTCAAAAGTGTCAAATCATCAAAGTTCAAAAACCATCAAAGTTCACCTTATGCGATCGTTTACAAACTAAAATAGTTCGGTAAGTCGAATTTAACACTTTTGCCTGAAGTTAAGTCTCTAATACAGAATCTTGAAGTGAAATGTTCAGTAAACTACAGCCGAATTATGGCTCATAAAAACACGCGAGTTTTTTTCACATGACAAGGCATGAAACAAACTGTTCAAGGCGAGTGTTTTTTGAATGAACGACAGCCGAATTCACCGAAACATGAAGATCGCTCGGGATACGGCAAAACTCGGCTGCAGTGACTTTCCACTCAACGCATCGGAAAGGATATCAGAGCAAGCTCTTATTTTTTCACTCGAAGGGCGGCCGATATAGTTTCTGAGACTTGCTTTACTGTGATGACCGGAGATCGCCATGATGTGCGAGCCGCGATGGACTTCAGGATGATCATATTCGCTCAGACACCGTCATGATTAGAATGAATTTTAACAGTTATGCCAGTTTGGTTATATTTTTCATCATTTCTGTTTTGTTCTGTTTTGTTTTTGAACACTGAACTTTAAATACTATATGAGTATTAGCTGTGTTTGATTTTTATTTCCGTACGTAAGCTTGCAATCTAACTGAGCGTGAATTAATCTTTAAAACTCGGAATGTCTATTTCGTTTTTCCTTTGAGGATTTTCGTATCTGCTCACGTTTTAATAACGTAAATTACGGCGCCTGGTATGTTTACAAACCTTTATTTGGTTCTTCTGTTGCTACTTGCCGGCTCGCTTGTTCCGAAACTTCACTTTCAATTATCGGAAAAAAGCTAAAAAGAAGTCCCGGAAAAGGTCGAACATAGCACAATTTGGCAGATGGCGTGACAGCTTTAGCTCAGCTCTATGCTCTATACTCTATACTCTCATAGAGCACGCTCTTTCAACCAATGACAGCGCGCGTTATATCCGAACTTTATTATAAATAACTTTAAACATGATTTATTAAGCTTAGGCTTACTTCTTGTCAGTGTTCCATGCAAGGCCTAACTGTTCAATCTTTGAACGAACATAGTGCTGTGAACGATAACAGTTCATTAGTATTAAAAGTGCGGGTTCCATGTATTTCCAAACTGAACAATGAAGAAATTATTATTAAAGATTCCTCGGCGCCTTTGAAACAGGACACAAGCGGTCTGTCAAACATATATACAGGCGGTTGTGCGGCAAGAAAAACAGTAGGTGTGAGAAATCGAAAATTTGTATGGCGCGCATTTTAAAACCAGCTCTCGAGTTTGGTTGGTAAGCCGCAAAATTTTTGAAAGCAAGTCATCATATTAATCTAAGCTGCGTAAGAAACATGCACTAAGAATAACGTATATGTTGTCGACTAAGATTACTCACCGAGAGATCTGGATGGCGGGCGATTTTTCTTTTCTTTGAAGAACTTGGTGGCGTTAGCATTCCGAAAGCGCTTCCCTCTGCGATTGCAGGACCGTCCACAACTTTTCTTTCTAAAGCTGCAATCTTCTCCTCCAAGGCTTTGAAACCGGTCTCGATGCGCGTCTCCATACTCTGCAGCTTGTTAAGGATGGCATCGGAAATATCGATCTGGTTTCCCTCAACGATTTGAAGTGAATCGTTCACTTGTCTCAGCTGCGCTATGACTGACGATTGATCTGTTGTGTCCAATTTCTTTTGAACTTCAGTAAGTTTCGTTAAAACAAGGCAGAATTCTGAAGGACTGGCATTTCCAATTCTAGAACTTGCCATTTTCGATCGAAAGTTAAACGAAAGATCAACACAGTAGCGTCTGCAGTAGAGTCAAATTGTTTGTTGCGCACTTGGAGGATCCCCCAAGACGCTGTCAAACTAAGGTTATGTGATTGGTCAGCTCGCAAGGTCTAGTTCTATGATTGGATCTAATTGGACAATTCATCCCAACCGGGCCCGCAGGTGTCAGTAGGGTCAGCGGCTTTGTTGTCAGGCGCTGGTATTTTGGATCAACGGTTTGTTAGTTTGGCGCGGAAATCGATGCCGAAATCACCAGATCGATAGAAATTTTTCATCAAAGCATTGCTTTACGTTTAATAAAATGGGGAAAAGAAGTTCGCTCAGTTCGCCTCGAAAGTGGAAGAGAAGGAATCGACGTCGTATTCATTGCTCCCGTTGTGGAAGTAATTACTCGTATTCAGGGTCCAGATCTCATGTTTGTCCAAAAGCTACAAGTGCTCAAAGTCGAACGAGAACTGGAGAAGAACAAGTTCCTGACTTGGATTTGAATTCTACATCGGAAGAAGAGACTGGATTTGATTGTTTGCATAACAACTCGGACACCGAAGAAGAAAACATGACTCCGACGAGGTGTGATGAGAATCCTGACGCGGAACCATTGTTGTCTGCAGATTTGCGCAAGAGACTGAAAGATCGATTGAGGAAGCGTTTTAACGAGGAAGACTTGGATTATTTTGACGATGATAGCAGTGATGAAAACGAGAGTGCCACTGATTGCAGTGGTGACAGTGATGAAGTCCATGCACATGGTCATGATTCATCTAATTCCATCAATGAGGAATGGGGTGATTCTCAAGGAAGCAATGAACCAGAACTCCCAGAAGAGGATTTTGCTGAGAGACCACAAGAACAAAACAATTCAATGCCTCTCTCAGATAAATGTGGCGTGCACATTTATTGGCTTTTATTGTTCTTATTTTCCTGGCAGTCTGGATTTTCTGTTAGATTCAGCTATGGAGATGTTACTTAAATTTCTTAGTCGTTTCTTCTGGCTAGTTGGAACATTTAATGAAGACAGTTTTATTTCTGCACTGGCAAAGCATTTGCCAAACACTTTGTACAAGCTCAAGAAACATCTTGGGCTTTTGAATGGTGATGATTTCATCAAGTATGTCGTCTGTCCAAAGTGCAAATCTTTGTATGGCTACAATGACTGTGTCAAGAATCATTTTGGGAGGCAAGTGTCAGCTCGCTGTACCTTTGTTCCCTGGTTTAGGCACCCCCATAGGTCAAGAAGAGGTGAGTCAACACCCAAAGTAACTTGATATAACTTTACACAATAACTAAGATTATTATTCATTCAAAATTTCTTCATTTCTGAGTGGTTTACAATGCATAGCTAATTTAAATTAACCAGCCAGCACTGATCCCCACTCTCCTTCAGAATTTCCTGTTAACTTCCTTGGGTGTGTATGGATGTTACCTGGAACCACTCAGTTAGAGTCACATGGAGATTCGATCAGGCAAATGCAAAATAATAATGTAAACTTCAAATACACTTTAAATTATTAATAGTTTTCAAATATACTTGTATCTAAACCATTTGAAGGACAAGGTTGCATCCCTTTACTCAATTGGCTTTTAACTTTATATATGTTTTGTTACTTAGGACCTTGTGATGAAGTACTCCTGTTCGCACTTTTTTGTACCCAAGGATGGTCTATCCATACAACTCAGTTATAAAGTCTTTGCAACAACTGCTTAGGAGACCTGGATTTTGGGACAAGTGTCAGGAGTGGAGAAAGCAGGTGTTACCTAACAATGTCAAAACTGACATATACCAAGGAAATGTGTGGAAGGAGCTATCATCAACTGGTTTTCTTTCTCATGTCAACAGCCTAGCTGTTATGCTAAATGTTGACTGGTTTAGGCCACATAAACATTCTCCTGGATCTGTGGGAGTGATTTACCTAGTGTTGCTCAATCTGCCTCGCCACGAGAGGTACAAACTGGAGAATATTATTGTGGTGGGTATTTTACCTGGACCCTCAGAACCAAAACTAACTGCTAACACTTTTCTAGAACCACTTGTCAA